GGAGGGAGAGAAGCAATGTCAAGTGTCACAAGGGTCTCTGGGTCTTGTTGTTAAGGCTAGTAGCAGATGGGAAGAAACTGTTTTGGTGGCGTAAGGTTTTGGCCCTGATGGAACGCAGCTTCCTGCCAGAGGGAAGTGAATGAAATAGTTTCTGGCTGGGGTGCGTGTGATCAGCCACAATCTTCCTTGCATGCTTCAGAGTCCGGTATACAGATCCTGGAAAGATAGAAGATTGCAGCCAATCACCATCTCTGCAGACCGGATGACATGCTGCAGTCTGCCTTTGTCCTTGGCGGTGGCACCAGCGACCAGATGGTGATGGAGGAGGTGACGATGGACTCAATGATGGAGGAGTAGAAGTGCACCATCATTGTCCTTGGCAGTTTGAAATGTTTCAGCTGTCACAGGAAGTATATCCTCTGCTGGGCTTTCTTGGTGAGGGTGTTGATGTTCAGCTCCCACTTTAGGTCCAGGAGTGTCAATTGTGGGGTCACAGAGGGTGATTGGGATCGCTGGGGCTGAGTTCTTCCGGAAGGCCACATTCATCTCCTCTGTTTTTAGAGAGTTGAGCTCCAGGTTGTTCTCCCTGCACCAGGTCGCCAGAATCCAGGTGCTGGAGGATGTAGTGAAGAGCCAAGTTGACAGTCGTCTGCAGACCTATTGGCTCTGTAGGCAAACTGTAGGGGGTCCAGGAGGGGTTGTCCATAACAACCGTTACAAGTAATAAACATGATTCCCAGACTTATGTTTTAGATTAACTTTGTGTTTGATATTTAACTCTCTATTTACAGTACTTTCCTTTGTTTAATTGGTTTTCCTGTTTACTGCATGCCCACAGTCCATGTTCCTCGCCATCCCATGCTACCCCCCACAACTGCTGTTGTTTTTACCCATTCTTTAGGTTTTGTTGTTCTGTACACTTCCTGTTCCTTGTCACAGCCTCTTTTGTGCTACTATTCTGTTTTGGTTAATTTTAAAAATATATCTTCTGTTCTACCATCACAAACAGGGGCAGTCTTAGCATTAGGCAAACATAGGCAGCTGGCTAAGGCCCCAAGTTCCTGGGGGGGCCCATAAAACTCATTTTACATGTATGGTTAATGCAGCTACTTATTTGTGCACATTAATATTTTTTTTTTCATAAAATTCCTTTCCTAAAATGCCATTAGAATGCTTATTATGTTAAGTGTGTCTCGGGGGCCCCCTCTTCAGTGTTCACTACATTGGATCAGTCCATTTCTGCGCATGTGCAGAAAGGTCTAGACACACGGAAGCAAACCAGTTGCAAACAGACGTCGAAAGTAGACAAGACGATAAGAGAAGAGAAGAGAGGAAAAGAAAAGGGATGAAAAGAAGCTAACTTAGCGGTGCTGAAAAGATGAGAAAGAAGGAGAAAAGTAGGAAGCTGCTTTCAAAGTTACCGACAATAACTGACTTCGGCTTCTTCACTGCGTCAGCAGCTAACACCAGCAGCAGCAGCAATCTCAGCGGTAACGTTGGTATCTGTTGAGGAGGGTCCGTCGTGTGGAGATGAACTACTTGTGAGTATTAAACCGTCGAAGGGGACATCTCCCCTATTTTTATTTTTTTGATTTTTTTTTTATGTTTTTGAAAAAGTATTAATATACCTTATTGAAGATGGGTCATTTTAAAGTAAGTTTTGAATTTCGTTTGTATTTGCAGGTCCAGCATCATCCACTCAGCTACTAAGCAGTGTACTTCTGGAAGATGACACAGCACTCTGGCTAAAGAAGCTGTCTGATTGAGCATTTTTGCTACAAACAATGAAAAATCTATCTAGGTGGGGTTATTTTCATGTTCAATTTCAGGGAAACTCAGGCTTTTAGTTTTAGATGTTTTATTCCTAACTAATTTAAGTTATACATTCAAAAAAACATAAGCAAGTTATTACAAACTTCTCACTCTGCATTACAGTTTTGTATTAACATTGCTTTAATATGTGTTATTGTGTACAGCTGTGGAAGGAACAGGATCTTTCCAAAAAAATGGAGACGGGCGCAGATTCACTTCCAGCTAATATGTCATTCAAATGGAAAATGGAGAACAGATAAGCAGATCATGGCTTGTCTACAGTGAAAAGATGGACTGTGTTATTTACTTGTGCTGCCTCCTTTCTGGAAACACAGGAAGGAGCAATCAGCTAAGTGAGC